AAGTTTAGAGATTTTAGTCTCTCCTCATATGACAATCCCACTATCACAGGCATCATCATAGTGGCTCTCTCTGAACCTTCTCCAACAATTTAATGTCCTTCTTGAGGAAGGGAGCCCAAACCTGTACACGGTACTCAAAATGAGGTCTTACAAGTGATCCATACAGTGAAACATTAATATCCCTTGTCTTGTATTTAATGTTTATATAGATGCTTTCCAAAATCCTATTAGTCCTGTTGCTAGCTACAGTACACTGTTTAGATGACTTAAGTGATTTTTCGATCACAATACCAAGATCTTTTCTTCAACCACAGTATTTAATATGTTCCCATTTAAATTGTGAAAACCTACATGCATCACCTTACATTTTGGATAGTTAAACATCATCTGTCACGTATTGGCCCAATGCATCAAATGATCTAAATCTCCATGTAAGTCTGCAGCATCTATGATACAGTTAGCCACCTCAAAAATTTTGATGTCATCTGCAAACTTCAAAATTTTGGTAGTCGTTCCAGAGTCAATATCATTAATATGAATCACTTGTAGCAGAGGACCCAGCACAGAGCCCTGATTTAATATACTTTACACATTTTAAACTGTCATCTATTACATTATAAATTATAGTTAGAATTGTGATATCCGGGTATGTGATATGGGTCATATTATATGTTTTTCTACCATCTTTAGTAATATACGAAATTTTAGATATTGTCGTTTAGTTAGATTTCATGCAGTTTGGTAAAACAGGTGGTCCAGAAAACCACTGAAATTATTTCATTATAGTTGCCTTTGTTCTCTACAGCTGATATACCTACTACACCCGAAAGGATATTGCAGTAATATCATATACCTATAGTGAAAGCGTCAACTACTGTAATGTTCTTTGCTGGCCAAGTGGATGATATGTGTATGCTACAACCAACGAATGCTGTGAGAGAATGATCAGCCACGAAGTGATACTATCGTAACATAAAGGGCATTATGTTTATTGCAAAATCTGAGACACTACCCTTTCAGTTCTACTTGGTTATTGACGTGAATAGTTCAGTGAGGATCCATCTCGAGAGTAGCTGTTTATCAGTTCACAGGCCCAGCAGGGGCGATTTGTCCACTCGTCTATGCAAGTATCCACGCTGTTATTTTTTGTTGTTGTCTCTGCAATAAAGAATGTTTTCACTTATCTTCAAATGTGTCAAGTCTGTTTGTTTCTTACACAGCTTAACTAAGTTGAGTATTCAAATTGAGATCGTTTTAAGAATTTCCTGTTTGATCCTGGTTATTAAATAGACTCACCTAATATTTGCAAAGAAATCAGTTTACCTGAGAATACAACAAACATACCATGCATTTTTTATCGTTTTATTTTAACATAGATTCAAAAAAAAGTTTATTCTAGGTATTTGAAGTTTTTTTATAACACGTGACCAAGAAAATTATTAATCTCTCCTTAATCTAGCTACCTATTTTTTGTCTCCTAATATAACATTTGTAAAGTTGTACCTGGTATATGAAAGTGGACAGTTGTTCTCTCCAGTAACAGATCAGGTGATGTCTTGAGGTTGAACCTCCCTTGCCCCCTAGTGGTTTAGCAGTAAGTCTTCTGTGGATTACATTGCTAAAAATCGAGTTTCGATATCTAAGGTGGGCAGAACACAGATGGCCCACAATTTGGCTTTGTCTTTAACAAACAAAAAACAACCTTCCTTATTTTCAACTGTGAACGAGAAATCATGTGGGTAGTGCTATTCGCCCTGGGAAGGTATTAAGTACATAATGTGATGCTTTCTCAGATTTTGGAGAATATCGATAGATATTGAAGGAACTTCAGCTTTAAGATCAGGAGTGAAACATTTTTCAACAAAGGCGATTATCCTCTGTGCTAAATTAATAAACACACAGTGATTTTCTGATATTTTTGTAATTATATATTTAACGTTTTAATTTAATGTTTGCTAGAGGTTGTTCATGATTACGATTACATTTAGATCTAGGAAGTTCATGAAACTTAAAAATCGAGAAGGTTACGATATCAATTATAGTGAAGTATTCAGTGAATAATGAGTTGAGTAATCAGTTCAGTGCTGGTAAATTAGTTCAGTGTCAGAAGAGAGAGTTAGTTTCGCATATATCTTCTGCTATTCAGTTACTTGATCAATTAACCATAGATATCTACAAGTGAGGTCTATATACATTTTGCAGTTTATGTTGAAAAATTTATGTATTCGACATTATAGCTACAAGTGAACATTGCTGTAGTAAATATTTATCGAATAAATAAATTAATTAGTTATCGTTAGGTGGACTAGACATGGCATTTTTGATGAGTAATAAAAAAAACCTTCTCAACGATATCAGAAGTGGGATAATTTTGGTGAAAATAAGATAGAACTTTGACTAAACTTGAACTCAAGATGAAGTCAACCCAATCATAAAGAGAGGTAGAAACTTTACTGGAGGTGATAAAGCAGTTAAATGGTCAAGAAGAAACAGAGAACTAAAGGAAGAAATTTATAGAAAATTAAAATACCAAAAAGAAAGAGTTAAAAGAAACAAACATTAACGATAATTAAGGAAAAAATAAGTATGATCGATGAAGCTACTGGAGATATACAGAGGGATTACAACCAGAAGATTGAAAAAACATCAATGGAGTAGAAAAGAACATAATTAAAAAATAAAACACCTGGAAAACGAACTGGTAAATGCAAAGAGTAAACCAGCCACCCCTTTTATTACATCTGTCCAAGAAGTCCAGACTAAAACACTACTTACTACAAAGGTTTACTTACTATTAAGGTTTACACCTATCACCAATACTGCTGTGCCATCTATTACTGCAGGATTTTTCAGGACTAATCCAGCCAAGTCACTACCAAACCCAGTTCGATTATTTAGCTGGTCAATTCAATAATATTGATCTATTGAGAAAACAATGACCTATGATGGAAAGGCATGATAGGAAACATATCAGGATCAGTTCAAAAGACTTTCCAGAATGAATGGATGAAATAATGAATAAGCCATTCATCCTGCTGCCCATTTAAAAGGGCTAACTTTAATAACACTAATTAACCTTCAAGTTGACAGTCACAATACCAACCACGCTTTGGTAGTTGCCTTTTCCAACAGGTTCAGAATGACACACCAGAAGGAAGTATGCATAGAAAAGTTTTGAAACAGGGTAGGAAGGAAAGAAAACACCTTAGCTAAACTTGCAGAAGGTTTCTTGAGATATGCCCTATTATCTTACTTAGATGCTCCAAATGAACTGTTGAAGTTGTTGAAATGTGACCAATTTTTATATTTTATAACAAATGAGGATATAAGATTTAGGTTGAAACAAATTGTGTAAATTTTTAAACAAACCTTTACAATGGAACTTGAATCCATTAAAAGTGCAGATAAACAAGTAAAGATACCATCTGGAAGTTATGGGTTCATCAGATCGAGTAGTAATGAAACAAACTCCAACTGAATATAGTCTAGAAGAGCTGAAAGGATTAGTTAGAAAACTAGTTATACAAAATAGAGAATATATATACCATAACACAATAGATGTTTCATGTGTAACTTTAAAGGACATATTCCCTGGAACTACAGACAAAAGCCAGTATGGAATAAGAACTCCCAAAGGATATCAGAAAGAGGGAACTGTTATAGAAGAGGTAAAACTGGTATTACAGCCAAAGCTTTGAGGAATCAACAGCTGTTAATACACTAATGAGACAGAGATGATACCCATGTGATGAGTCTTTGAGCCCAACCATATCAAAGGAACAACAAAAAGCCAATGAGATATTATAAATTAGGAATTACCTTGACTTATGAAACAAAGTTCTGCTGATAATACTCCAAATTTAATAAGAAGTTCATTGTATAAAGAAACCAGTCCCTGAGCTTGCAGGTTTCCTGACAGGAAGTCTTGCAGTATGTTGATTGATACAGGTTCTACAGCAACAATAGCTCGACTCAAGCTGGTAATGAAAGAGGAGAAATTGCCCCCAGAAATGAAGAAAGAAGGTGGATTGATGCAAATAGCAAGTGAACATAAGGCTACAGCAAGATGAAAGTTGGAAATTATTTTTACTGTAGAAAGGTACTCTACACCTCATAACACAAAAAAAAAGGTGCACACTAGAAACTGACTTCATGCAGAGACATGGGTGTGAGGTTCAGGTGGCTTCAAATAGATTCACAGTCTATGACTAGGAAATCACTGTGCACTATGTGACAATTATTACACTAGAAATTGAAATACTAATGAAAACAAGAATGACAGTCATTGTATCATCAACAATTGAAATACTCATACCAGAAGTTGTTAGGAATAAATTTACATCCAGTGACTGAGCCATAGTAAAACCAAACACTCCAGCATGTCCCAATGGATTAATGGTTGGATAAACTCATGGATCTGAAGAATAAAAGTGTCATCACTATGGCCATGAATGTAAAAAAAACAACACAAGATTCAAGTCTCAATGAATATTGCAAAATTCAAAACTGTTCTTCCATATCAGAGAACATCAAATGTAGTCACATTTGAGGTAAAAGATACAAGGTCTAAGGTAATATGTGGAGTGATTAAGGTCTACATTAGTTGATGTGCATGAGTTTGCACATTAACAGTTAGGAAAACCTGCCATACATCAGACAAAATGCTAGATGGTATAGGAATAGATGTACCAGTATTGAGATTGTGTGTGGCTTTGGTACATTCCAGTGACATGAAAGCAGTTTGGTTTTGGCTTGACTGACTCATATATTATATTTCAGCAGATTGGTCTGTTGATGGACAAGTTACATCAGATTTGAGCAAAATCACATGAACCACCTTGTTAAGCTGCATCCATATTTTAAAGATTAATCTCTCGTGCACTAGCATAAACAAGAGTAAGAGGTTGAGACCAACAAGTCAGAGGAAGATAAGAATTCTGTCTCCCCTCTCATCAACTCAGTTAATGAAGAGAAAGAAGTTTAAAGCACTTACCCGGCTGTCTACAATGAGACATATGAGGATACCACGGAGTTAGAGACAAGAGGCTACTCTGGCATGTGGGTGAGCCACCACTAATGGTTTTCTGATGAATATGGTTGGGATTAATATGGGTTGTTGAAAAATCCATGACTGAAAGGAAGTAGCATTAAAGGATTAAAAAAATAAAAATAATAATGTGAAAATGTTTGGGTTGTTTTGATTAGACAAAAACAAGGTTTTTGGCATTATTTTCAAGGTTGAAATCACTGAACAAGACCCCATGACCTGACCCAAGAGCTAACATGGGGAAGTTAACTTCAAAAACTTGTAAAGGTAAAGTAAAATGAAGTAGCAATGAAACATGTTTGAAACATTCTAGATGTGGTTATGAATGTGATGGTTTAAGTGGAGCTATTATGCTAAACCATGGGTCCAGGTTGGATGAGGAAAAAACTTATTTGAAGATATCTCAATTGATTTGACATACCAGCTGGCTTGGAGGTTCATCAATTGATTACTACACTGACAGGAAAACATAAAAAAATCGGCATAATAGTATCATTTTAAAAAAGAGGAATTGGAATCATATATAAAAAATCATTAGTTTCAATATTTTGTGAAACTAACAGCACAGTAAAGCCCACAGATGTAGTGTTGAAGTTGAAGCAGATGCACAATACACAAGATAATTTCCTTAGCAATTCTCAAATTAAAAATGCCATTTCTGCAATGAAGAGTAAATATAAGAAGGATGGTATAATGCCCAATATGGTACCACCATAGTATAATCCATATCGATTTCTTGAAGTCATATTTTTAACTAATATTTCATTTTAGAAGTTGTACTGGGCTTCATTCACCAAGATCTATCAAAATAACCCAATATCATCAGTTTCCAGATTGACTATCCTGGGCTCATTATTAAAAGATTCTTTGCTGGCTAGTATGGCAGGTGTTAAAGTGTATTTGTAATTATTTACTCTGGAGGAAATTAGTTTTAACTGAAAATACCACCCAATTTTAACATTAACAGGAAGACTGATTATGATTATGCATGATAATCAGTATTAACACAAACAGATTAAGAAACATCATAATATAAATTTAAACATTTTGTATGACCAAACTGTAATTATTTTAATATTATATAAAAAAAATAATTCTAGATTCTGATGTCTAATAGATCTGTTACATTTTCAGCTATATAATCAAATAAATATACGAATAACTACACACTCTCATACAAACACATGTATACATTTATGAAATTGTGGTATGATTCTGTTTCAACACTGTCATTATGTTAGAATGCTGCACCATAATAAACTTAAAGTTACAAATTTAAAATACAGACTGAAATATTTTTGAGACCTTTATAAATATAAAAATGTTATCAACTTCTTATGCCTAATACATCCATTACATTTTTAGATTTGTAAGTAAACATATAAATAAATGTATATAAAAATTTATAAAAAGACAGTTTGATTCTTTTCCAGAATCATTAGGTGAAAATGTCACTTACTCATGAAGTCCTCAAATGAATAAAAGTTTCAGGATAAAATTTTAAAAACAATATATTAAAATAATTTTGAGATTTTCTTAAAGAGCAATATAAAATTTTTCTTAACTTAATGAAAGGTACTTTCATACAGGTAAATTTACATATCATATGGCTTCTTACCAGTGGCGTGCGTTATTCTCAGATGTACCGATTTCTTTCAAGAGTAATCAGGTAGGTTCCACAGAATAAAAAGAAGTACACAGAAAATGTATCACAAAGAAAGAGAACTGACGCACACAAAAAAAAACAACAACAAGTGAAACAATCTCTACTTAACATACAAAATAATCACAGTGAGTGTACTTATGAAGGGTGGCTTCTTTACTAGTGCTTCCAGAAATCTCTGTCAGGACGAAAAAGAACTTGTTTCAAACTGAGAAAATGTAGCATTATATACACAATACAATAATACTATCCCTGTCTATACTACGAAAAAGAAACTATGTGCAGGCAAATGTGTACACTTCCCCAACTTCATTTCTAACGTGTCTTCCTTAGGTCCTTCACAGTAGTACTCTGAAACATACAACCTAATATTAGTAATTCAATTTACACCAGCCCTTAAAAGTGACTGCCACATTACACTATATGGCACAGGACTCGTGAATTCCATCTCCAGTGCTAAAAGTAGTTTGAGGTCTTATCTTGATTCCCAGTTCTACTAGTTTATGTGTAGCAATAGAACTTTATTGACCTTCACAACCATATTCATCCCTTCTTTCTTCTTCACAATCATTACTGTGTTATTTCAGGACTGACAGTATTTTTGATGTTCGAAGGAAACCTTCTTAATAGTTTTATCAGACATACATCATCTCTGTGTGATGATGGATTAAATTTGACCTACTCAGATAGACACACAAGTAAATAGGCAAATTCATGAAGAAACTCAATGAGTCCCTGTCACTTTGGGGCCCATCTTGAGATCTTCAACCAGCAATTTCAGGTGATCTAGAAACAGTGTTTGTTTTTATACACATTGTAGCTCACGTAACACTGGGTATATGCTATTTTCATTACTTCTCCTTCACACACACCAAGTTGGTAACTATTTCATTTCATAAGTTGATAAACATCTGTCCATAATTACAAACCAATATTTGAACAAACCTTGGAATATGGATGAAAAATAGCATGCCTCCTTTATAATTTCTTTTTTGTAGCAGTCAGTCTATTCCTAATATACCCATACTCAAGTTAAGACAAGATGGCAGCTTCCTTCATTTAGTTACAAAACCAGTAACAGATAATTGTGCTTATTTGTTCACCTCAGGACTATTTTCATTAGCCAGAATGAAGTCAACATTAGCTTCATGGGATAGTAGTTTTAACTACAGTGTCCAATAGATGAAGAGGTGGATCAGTGATACAGCTGCTCATGTGCTTACCAAAACCTCACTTTCATGTATTTTCATAGTCATGTATCAAGTCACACCCAGTCTTGCATGAACTACTCTGGCCACCACACCTTTATATGCAAGTTGGTTGTTCTACAGGTCAGTATCAAAGTCCAATCTGAATCACAATAATTTAACTTACAAGGAGTTATGATAGTTAATGCCGGTTTTTCAACCTTCTGTGTTGCCTGCCAATTGGCTAGAAAGAAACCTGCTGTTTTCTTTTTCTTTGTATGACAGGATATGGACTATTTCATATATAGAAGCCAGAAAATTCACATCATCTCTCAGATTTGAAGCACTGCCTGAAAAGACATTCCTATTGCAGCAATGGTATTAGCCATTGTAACAGTCTCTGGTATGTCTTTGTCTACCCACTGGTGACCAGTTCTGCTACTAGCCATTGTAACAGTCTCTGGTATGTCTTTGTCCACCCACTGGTAACCAGTTCTGCTACTAGCCATTGTAACAGTCTCTGGTATGTCTTTGTCTACCCACTGGTGACCAGTTCTGCTACTAGCCATTGTAACAGTCTCTGGTATTTCTTTGTCCACCCACTGGTGACCAGTTCTGCTACAATTCAACAACTGATGATCTTGCAGCAGTGGAAGTTTTAGTTAGTAACAAACCTTTTGAAAAACTGGCATCTGTGAATCATGTTCAGGTGGAGCCACTGCAACTTCAGCTGCTGACTTTCTCTTCTCCTGAAACTTGATATGATCCCCTCAAACTGTGCTGCCACAGTGAAGGCTTTAGTTAGACATCTCTGATCCACATGGGCTATTTGATAAACTTACTAACAAGGATATCCACACAATCCATTACTGTTGTTTCAGATTATGCCTTCCCATGCAATTCATCTAAACATATTACCAAATTTTCAATAGGACCATGCTTTTGAGTTTTGTATAAATTGACAATATTTTCCAGTCACAGAGTAAGTATGCATCCAAATAATATACAGCATCAAACATTACATCATCCAAACTCCAAACAAACACTGGGTAGCTTCATCTTAAGAGCACATGATCTAGACAATTATTAACAGATAATGTTTGGGCCTTCAATCATGTGTGCAATTCACAAGGTAGGATTAATTCAGTTTTGAAATACCCTCCTTACAAAGTTTTCATCCTATCACACCGATTCCTATTGAAACATTACCAAAATTCATGCCATTCTAGAAATGAATACAGCTTACATAGCAAACTTTGGGAAATATTTTGCCTGATCTTTTGAAAAGTTTCTCATGTATTTTTAACCAATGCTACTTAATAAACAAAATTGTTATATATTCATGTACTCACAATGCTCTCTTTAAAAAACAATCAGGGATTCACTTTGAAAACATGTTTAATTCATTATACAAAATCATATATGTACATTACAGAGCCTAGCCATATACAGCAATTAGTAAAGTCTGGTAGTAAATACTAAACTTATTTCTTCTTTGTTTAAAGTTAGTTATGAAATTGTTTTATTCATTCTAATTATGAAAATTTTACTTACTTACTAAAGTATATTTCATGTAGATTAACAACAATAAATTTAGCTAAACTTCATTCTATGAAAAATGCTTTCTCTGTACAGAACAGGACTTAATCCAACAGTTAATACGATGATGATATTGTCAGATAAAAAACAAACAACAAAACTCAATCTTCCATGATAAGTAAAAATATTTGCTTTATATCTTGTATACAACAAGTATTTAAGTTATAACTAGTTATAGACTACAATAATCACTATGTGTCCTAATTTTTCCTACAGTTAACTTTTTCTAAAAGCACATCATTTACGAAAGTACTACTTCTCTATTCTAGCACTTGAAATGTTTATCATTAACTTTTGAGAAAACAAAAAGTTATCTTTCACACAAGTAAATAGTAAGCTTGTTTTTATTCCATTATATCAAAATGAAACAGTAGCTTTCACAACTTTTAAATTTGACATACAACTCTTAGTTAAAACTGTTTATTGCAAAAGTTAGATAATTTTCAAAGCATATATACTATCATGGACGAGATAGAGTTGCATGCATGAAACCTACAAGCTCAGTTTGTAAAAACTAAGGGTCAGTAAAGTGAGCCAAAGATCCTGGGTTCAAGGCCTGGTCAGTGCATGTTTCTTAACATTTTGATATGATATATTTACATTCAACAAATGGTTATCTCACCCTTGAGTGCTGGATAGATAGAAAGTCAAACAATACATATACATCCTTGGCTCATAAATTGGTTTGGTTTGTTGACCATGTATCATGTAGTGTTAATAACTTCAGAGAATGGGTTATGTTATGTGTGTGTGTTGGTGGCTTAAGAAGCCAGGTTGATCGTAAGTTAGTTTGAAGATGAAACTTGTTTGAGTGAGGAGAATTGTGTAATGGTCAATATGGAGAGTTTTCTGGTTAGTTATCTGAAAGCTCGTAGTTCAGACAGTAAGGGCACACAACATAGGTCTTAGAGCACTAGATTGAGCTGAGGGTCCAAGGTTCAAACCCCCAATCAGAACAGATTTCTTAAATTATATGTTAAAGTATACTGAGATAAAACATGTTCATTTGCAGCATGTACATAGTTTGTATTTTCCCAAACCCGACTACAAAATATCTTACCTAGTCATCAAAAATTAACTACATCAATTGTAAACATTTAATTGTTGCTTGTAAGAAATATGTACTAACAGACAGTTGAATTATTACAACAGAGTAAAAACTGTTTCTGATTGATTCAGATAATAAATATATTATACAAATATTATTTGGATATAAATTCAGATGCTCAAGAGGTTAGCTTCCATTACACCAATTTATATATCAATATTATTTGACAAAAACTAATTAGACTAATTATGGGTTTGCACATTTTCTCTTCTAAATTTATGCCACATAAAATCATTAAAATTGTTAACTGTTTACAGTTCTTACAATTTTTTTAAAGTTAAATGTCATAAGTTTATTTGTTCACACTACTTCAAGATAAAACACCAAAAAATCAAACTATTTCATTAACCATATATAATGTATAGTAAAATATCATACAATAAATTTCTCAAGTTTGAGGGGTTTTCATTAAACATCTTCCTTCTTTCACAAAAACTTTTCTATTTAAACTTAGAGCTATGAAAAAACAAATGACATCTCCAAGTGTAAAACAAAATGCAGTTACTAAAAAAAATATATATATACCTTTAACCCCCTAGGTCCAATTTAATTAGAACTTTGAGAAAAATTTGTAAACAACCTTCCTAATTTTTTAGTATCTGTATTTTATATAGGGTTCAGCAATTATCTTTAGGTTTCCAGGTTTCCCCTAATGACAAAAATATCACATTTTTTCAAATTAAATATGAAGTAAATTGATTAACATTGATAACTACTTTTATTATTTCTTAATTTTTTTAAAGTTAAAATATCATAAGTTTATTTGGTATTTGCAGTATTTAACTTTAGAATATTTGATGCTAAAATTTATTTTCAAAAATCATTTGGAGGTCAACTCTGTGCAGCTTAGTGTATTTTTCTTTGTACATTCAATTCTACTTTGTGATGTAAATTTTTACACGGCTTCTCTTCATGAGAATGGTTTATTCAGTCACATTGTGGCACCAATAATAGTGGCATTCTGTAAGTTAAGTATTGAATTTTTGAATGAGAAATGGATGAAACTGAATATATATATATATATATATATATATACACACACACACACAAACAGACAGTTTCAATAAGGGAAAAAATGCTTTTCTCTTTCTAATTATGAAATCAGTTAACTAAACAATTCAATTACAAAAACAAACTGATTTTTGATGCATGCTAACATATTATCAGTCTTCTTCAGTTCTTGAAATCATGAGTTTTAACACACTTACATGGGTGTAGAATTTTTCAAAAACTTCTTGTCCAAGGGACAAAATGCTAAAGAAATCTACTTGCCCTCTCCTGGTCCCACAAAACACTGACAAAAAAAAATAATAATATCTTTTAGGATTTTGCTTTTATTGTGAGATAACCTATACCAGTGGTTCCCAAACTGTGGTCCATGAACCTTTTTGGGGGTTCACAAAATGTTTCAGGGGGTTCTTATAAAAAATTCCATAATGACAGAAACAAGTGTTTGCACGCATTCATCACACTGAATAGATTATAACTTCAAGACTCCTTAACAGAAGTGGAAAGGTGAGGGGTATTTTTTGCTCTTTTTAAAATTAAACAGACTACTAGTGTTGTTCTTAAAATTAAGATGAAAAAAGTTTAGGCTTAATCGGTGATACGAAAGTGAAATCTTGGAAGAGTGTTGCTGTTTTCATAATGTAATAAAATCTATATTGTAATGATAAATAATAATGTAATAATAGTGTGTTTATATTTCCAAGATCATTGTTTTTATAATCAGGTAAGGAAGAAAAGGAGGAGGTTTGCAAGATTTGGCATTTTCACGAAAGAGGTTTGCGAGATGTTAAATTTGGGAATCACTGATCTATACAATGCCATTGGCAACTCAATTCTGTCCATAATGTAATTCACTGTGTTTTCCATGTAAGCTATCAATAAGCATGACAGTGCTTAGAATGTAGGGCCAGGAAAAAAAATGGCTGCCACATATGTATTGCTCATCATAGCTTCAAATCTCTCTTATAACAGTCTAAGAAACTTTTATAAACATCTAAGTTAGGTTTTTGAGGTTTTTAAAAGCTATTAAGGGTTTCAGTTTAGCCAAACAAAAAATCACTAAAATAGAGAACCGGTGAGTAACAAAACAGCCAAATGTTCTGCTGATTATTCTGATTCTGGTGTCAGAAGGGTTAGCTCACCAATGCTTGAAGTTGTTGCAATGACTTACACACCAAAATGTTGCATCTTAACTTGGGGAAAGCAGAAGCAGTATGGTATTTCAATAACTTCAATACATGATGTCCATTAAGATAACTCATCACACCAGGCTAAAACTGCTTCCTTCATAGCAACTGCCATTCATTAATAAATATTCATGTCAACTTCAAACTTGTCAACCTTCAAACAAATCTTGTTGTTTCATGCATCTGGAAATATAAAGTAATTCCACACTTCTGCTTAAAACTTATGCCCTGTCTTGCTAAGTACCATCAATCTGCATTAAATTCTAAAAAGACCCAACTGCTTTTTAAACAATATCAATGATAAATTTCTAAATGCATAGTAAATGTTGTTTACAGTTAACTCAACATATCCTAAAAATTGTTGGATTTATGAAGCTTCTATCTTACTTCGTGCAACATCTAGTTGACAGAGGGTTCTGGCTGCAACCTTCCGAGCACGAGCTGTTTGTAAACTGCTCACAGCAAGTACCAGTTCAAAAGTGAAGAATTCAGGCATCATTTTGACCATATGGGGGACCAGGCCAAGTGGCATGAACTGTAATACAGCATTGGCTTGTTCTTTGGCACAAAGAACCAGTTGTTCAAGAATTAGGAGTGGGAATGTGGAACGCTGACTAACAAAATTGTCCGAAGCAATATGTGATAACATGCGCATAGTATCTGCAATTGCTCTGTTCAAAGGATCCCAAGCCATGGCACGAGTCTCTTCATAATTTGACTGTAAACCAAAAGGTGTTTCATCTAGTAGCTCCATGTCACTTACTCCTCTTCTTATCTTACTTGGCCTCTCTCGATCAAAAATTTCATACATTTCTTCCATTTCCATATCCCGTCTGGGTCTCTTTGTTCTCCCACTTCTTCCACCATGTTGGTTTGCACTTTGTCTGGCTTGAAGTGCTGCATATATAGTAAGTACTACAAGTCTAGCAAGGGCTGATCCATGTGGTTCAGCTAAGAGATGTTGACGGGACTCAGAACGTATGTAAATAGGCAAAACATGCAGCAACAAAGCTAATGCACACTGTTCAATGTCTATATAAAATAGACCAAATATTAATTCCACTGCACGGTGCAAGTCATCAAGATGATCAAACTTCAAAGCTTGTCTCACTAGTGTATCACAAAACCATTGAGGTCCCCCAACACACATCAACGTGTCAAGGCTGTGGGTTGTTTTAAGATCTAACCAGCCTCGACCATGGGCAGTTATAAAAATTCCATCCATTATTTCCCACAAAGGAGTCCGAACAGTGAGCCCTTGAGAAATGGCATGAACACCTTTAGATTTTGTCTGGGATGGAGGGTGCAAATCATACATCATTTTCTTGATAATGTTGATCATTAAGGTTGATCTTTCCTTATAGTATTGATTTACCTGTTCCTGACCTGAAGACATTCCTCCAAGTCCATCTCCTGAGTATGGTGTTGTAAAGTGCTGTATCATGTTCACAGGTTTCAACCTCTCATCGTGATGAAGAATATTCACATAATTGCACAACCAAGCTGAAATACAAACAGGCAAACAACACATTTTGCTTTTCACATGATCAAGAATATTTTTAACAGTTGCAGTAGGTAATGCATCATATTGCCATGCCACAAGGATTTCTTTGATGGCCATGGGGCCATTGATACACACTTCATGCCATTTGACAAGGGTAGTTCTGAACTCCTGGTCTGGATTAGTGAACTGGGAAAGCAAATTATCAACAACAGATGAATCACATCTACTCAAAACAGTATCAGGATTTTTATACTTGCCACTTTCTGCTAAACATTCTGTAACCCAAGTATAGAAGAAAGAATTTTTTGTTTCTGGGTTTGACGTAACTGCTTCAATTCCATATTGTTGAGCAATTAGACATAACATTAGAAAGGTAATGTCAAACAACAATGCACGGGTCTGTGCAGCTTTGAAATCTTCTGGTGGGCCAGAATTTTCTTTGTTGTATTCATTAAACTTTATCAGTTTTGTTGCAAAACTATGCAGTTTACCAGTTGCTGCTGCAGCAGACAAAATCAACTCAAAGCTTTTTCCAGTGTTCATATGACTCAATACTCCAAGAAGGGCATCTTGGTTTTTAGAATAATCAGAATCTAAGGTTTTAAGAATGCTTGTCACAGTAGGTTCAGCTCGGAGTATTAAGCTCGCCCCAGCTTGACTGGATTGTTGATCTGAACGAGGAAGTGTTTGCCGTAATGATTCTCTCTGTCTGCGTGCCAATAATCTATCATACTGGGCATCACTCAGAAGCTTCACTTTGCAGAGCTCGTGAAGAAGAAACTGCAAACAGTCACAATTACTTCTGGTGTCAGTAAGATCTAGTAACGGAGTGTATTGCATTAACAGTTCCAAACCCTGTTCAAGTGGAGCTGAATCCTCTCCAAGGTTCCATGAAGGGTCTTCTTTACAAGCTTTATGCACTTTGGCAATAAATTGTGGGACTTTTAAGAAGGTGAAAGCTGCCCATTTAAGATCTTCTGAGCTCCCAGCTGCATCAGCAAGGCCCATGAAACAAGCCCTTATGATTTCACAATAAAATTCTGGTAGGGAGAGGTTCTCTAGCTTTTGTACAAGTAGCAACTGATCAACACAAGCCTGAATATCACTTGCAGGGCTAAGCACTGCATCAATTGCAATCAAAGCATTCAAACTGCATACTATTGGTTGAGGTCTCAAAGACTTACTAAGGGTGCTTTTGGTGGAAATGTTAGGCAAATCTTGTACACTCTTCACAAGTCTCAGAGTTACTTCTATATTATCTTTAGATAAGTTGAAACCTTGTAATTGGGTTACCTTACTCTCTAGTTCCTGCTGTTTCTGAACAAGCTGAGAATACATACTCTGATCTTCATGTTTTCCAACAAACAAGAGAGCTTTCAGAAACGTGGAGTTGCTGAAGAAACTAAGGGATTCTACAGCCTTTTCCAGTATAGACATGTTTTCTGGACTTTGTTTAAGCTCTGCTAACTTTGAAAGTGAATGAAGAACACAAGAATACAACCAGTGTGTAACATTAACAACTGCTTGACAAAGACCAATACATTCTTCCTCATTCCCATAGTGGCAACTAATTCTTGGCTGGATTGATTTTAAGAGATCAAGCAAACTTATAATACAGTATGGTTTGTAGAAACTTTGGTAGCGTCCTATGCTGATCAATACAGCTCCATATGAAACTACATGAGAGCTAAGACAGTGAGTCAAATAGGACAAAAATAAGCTGTTCGGACCTGGTCCTACCAGTGCTTGCTGTAGAATACAATCTGCCAAATCATACACATCTCCGCTAACACCTCGTGGCAAGACGTTCTTAATGTTTATTCCCCATTTAATATCAGTCCAGCGTTCTCTCCAGGCTTGTAACAAAAGAGATTTGATCTTTCTAGTTTTACTCGTATCCATAACTTCTCTGTTGAAATATGGACCTCTTATGTAATCAAAACCTGTAAATTGAAAAAATTAACATAATTAATTTAAGTGACTTATCCTTATTCCATAAAACATTAAGTGGTTAATAATTTACAACTTTTTAAAGCTTTCAAATTGGCTTTTTAACATAAGCCTAAATACTAATAACACCTATGTGATTAAGTTTTTTAGGTTCTAGATTATACGATTTTACCTCTAACATTTAGACACATCTCTATGTCTGTCTATAAAATCACTAGAAATTTACAGACATTTGTTTCACGGACTGTGTGAATATATCACATGGTATCTCACAGTGTCAGACAATTATGATGGTTATAATAATAACAGGTATTTTATTATTTAATTAAACCTTTAGTTTAGGGTATGGAATGTTAAAGCCTAAGCTTAAATTTAACTTAAATTTTCAGTCCAGTGACTTATTACAATAGTTTAGGTTAACTATTTTCAGAACTTTTAAGAGTAAATTATTTTAAGTAAAAAGTTAATTTGGCTTATATTTTAAACAGTTTAAGATATATATTTTTATATCTGCTACTTTTAGGGACTCATTTTTTGGTTTCTTGTCAATTCACACAGAAGAAGGTTAGTTATACTTCCAACTTATGGGGTATACACATCATAATCAATAATTTTGCATTTCCTGTGTAATCACTCAATGTAAAGAACTGATGAAAAATGTGGGATAAATTACCCATTTCTTATGCAAGTTGCATAGGGAACCTCATCAGTAATTAGTGGGATTATGTACATTATTGGTGATATTTTTCTTTTAGTTTGTTTTTGTGAGAATTGTATGTTACTAATGGCCTTATAACCAACAAAGTCTTTGACCTACAAGCAATTTGGTGCATAAACAATTAAACTGAAAACAAATGCCACTGATAATAACACACAGAAGAAGAACAGTTGTACTTCCAACAAAGCCAAGCTCATTATTATGTGAGACTTCCAGTTTTAGAGGGTTTGACTAACATAGAATGTATTTTTTTCATATGATACCGTAGAATTTGAGGTTGTACATTCAAAAGGAGGGCAACATCCTAATGTGAAAAATGATATTTAAACCTTATTTCTAGTACTGAGGTGGATATGATTAGATAAGTAGCTTTAAAAGATCAATGAAGTGCTAGAAATATGCTATCTTCACATACACACCCTTCAGAAAAGCAAAAATTTAAACCCACATTTTACTTTTTGAGAAGTCATTAATTTCCCTTCTTAAACTCTTTATCCTATAAATCTCTCACATAATATGTAAATTTTAATAAGACCACCTCTTATTATTCTTTTCTCAAGAGAAAATAAGAGATCTTAACCTATCTTTAAAAGACAACCCTTCCATTCTGGAATCATCCTTGTACTGAACCCTCTGAACCCTTTCCAATAACTTGATATATTTTTAGATAAAAGAACAAAACATGTACACACTATTTTAAATGAGATGTAAATAGTGGTTTATATAGAATGATTAACTTTTTTTGACTTGTAATCAATATATCTATAAGTACACTCTACAATTCTATTAGCTGTATAATGGTTCAAATGGTTTGAGTGACTTATCTGCTACAATGCCAAGGTCCTTTTCCATAGTTACAGTACTGAGTAGGTTCCCAAATATCTTAAACGTGTGGTCCAAATTACAACCCACTTATCCCTGATATTACTATTGCTTTTTTTTTTTTACAAGCTATTTTAAACAGAAGATATTCAGTTTACAAAGCTCCACCATCCATTCCAGAAAGTTTGAGGTCTATTCCTTAATACTTTTAGTCACTGCTATCTTTTGACTTCTTTCATCCAATTAATTAGTCTTTCTCCAAGCCCTACTATAATTAATGGTAATCTGCCAAATACCTGTCCGATTTACCAACTGATTAAAATTACTCTATATTACCTTAACATCCTAATTGAGCTAGAAATACATTAGAGTTTAATATCATCAGCAAAAGCAAACTTTACTAACATACTAATTATGACATCATAAATGTATACATAAAGTAAAAAATGCAATGGTCTAAGAACTGACCCCTGAGGCATTCCACAAAGGCTTTGTAGAAAATTCACAGATGTGTGAAACGAAAAATTTAGCTGATAGACAATGAAATCAAAAACAACAAAAAAAGAACATTTCAAATGTGAATAAATGACAGTCTTAGCTAAATAGTTACTCACTACAACTCAGAATGAGCATCTCTAATTCTACATAAAAACATTATGACTGTTAACACACCATTGTTCCTTGGTGAAAAGACCCCTTCTTAAGCTTTATCTTGATATATTCCTCCTCCTCCTTTTTTAAAAGTTGGATGGAAATTTATAATTTTTGTACTAATTTTACATATTCAGAAGAAAATAAAAGAAACAAATTGTCATTCCAGAAAATTTAAGGTCTATTCCTTAATACTTTTAGTCACTGCTATCTTTTGCCTTCTTTCATCCAACCATCCTATAATCCAATTAATTACCCTTTCTCCAAGCCCTATCAATATGATTTTCTTAGTTATCCTTCTATGTCACCTTGTAAAAAACTTTTTAAAAATCTAAATACGCTTAATCCACACCCTTTCTATCATCCAACATCCCTGAAAAGAGTTAATAGGTTGGTAAGGCAAGATTTTCCCTTTTATGAATATACGTTGTCTTCATTTATAACATATTTTACTAAATGATTTTCTATATCTTCTTTTATCACACTCTCTAGAATTTTTCCACTACAGGTAATATTAACTGGCTCCGTCTTTGCTATGGCAAAGCTACTACGGTTATCTACCACTAATACTAATTTTGAACTGCTGACTAGAGGGAAGACAAATGGCTAGCACCCACCACCAACTTTCTGTTAACTTAAATATTAAATAACGTATTTTTCACATTATATTATGTTTCTAACTTGTATTTATGCTCCTGTATTCTTTAGTGTTGTATAAACAGGCACAGATCTGGAGAAGGGATCCAGATCCCATTCATTATTTTCCAGAAATTAATAGTTGTATTCTTTAATGTTGTATAAAGTTAACAACTGTACTCTTTCATGTTGTATTAGCAGGCATGTATCTGAGGTAGGGATCCAGGGTGCTGGATCCACCATTTTTTAATAGTAGTAACTGTATTATTTAAAGTTGTATACATAGGTACAGATCTAGGAGGGGGGTCTAATCCACCTCCATTTTTTCAAGATATTAAAAAAAATAAAGGCCAGACATACATATACTACCATATACTAACATCAAATGTCAGATGTTTTTATCTGATTAGGCTATTAATTACCATAAATCCTTTTTTTGGGGGGGGGGTGTTCTGCAATCAACACAACTGAAGTCTACAACAATCCAGTTAAAGCCTTAGCCAGTAACTGATTATTTCTAAGCTAATACAACAATAAGAAAGTCAATTAAACATTGTTATGGTAAATGTTTGTGCCGTGGTTTTTTTCTAGACACCAACTTGTCTAGACTTTATAGAATTGTTTTCATCAAAGTTAGTGCTGTTTAGGACACTTGCAGCTCCTATAACATACTTATTACAGAATCATCAAGTTTTCATTGGTTTGAAGTTATAATTCTAATGAGAAAGATTTTTTTTTGTATTTTTGATGTTAAAATAAGTGAAAATGCAAGTAATGTTACTGTACAAATAACTTTAAAAAAATTTGAAAACAAGCTTCTTGTTTAGCAAAACTATAATTCTTTGTCTAAATATAATTATAAATAACCATAACTATTTAATATTAGTACAAATTTGGAAATATTTACTTTTAACTACTATATTTTCATATCAATCACATTACAACAAATAAAGGTACAAGCTTTGAAATCACCGAGTGATAACCTGTCCGAGTAATCATTTACAGAATATATTAACATTATTTTAACTTTGGTTATTTAAATTACTTTACGATTATATGATGGATTTGATTAATCCAACCTATAATATTACTATGGTGAATATCTTCTTTCATGTAAAAAAACACTGAAAATGTGGTTACAGTGTTACACAACTAACTTTCAAAAAGTTAAATGGTACCATACCATCATTGTAAAAATGAAACATTACTGTAGCAAGTATGAAGAAGTTAAACGTTGTTGCTGTCAAAACTATAAAACTGTATACATGTTCTAGTTTTATTCTTATTCATTCCCTAATGGTTTTAAAAGTTTGTTGAATAAAGTTATAACTATGAAGATGTATTTTACAAAATAACTTGATGTTACTCTAATTTTTATGCTATTGGGCTTTAAATATGGACTACTTGAAAAACATTTAAAAATACTAGATATTTACTTTGCCTAATAAATATAATGAGTTACAATTATTCATTTCCCTTGTTTGGTTACAAAGCAGTTGAGTTTCTGCATGGTTATTGATACAACACTGTTGTAAACATGCTTATAAACATGTAAAACAAACTGAATTGTTTAGAATAACAAGCCTGGAAAAGTGTACACTGTATTATGGCAAGAGGTGACTGATAAGTAAATAAATCTTTTATTGTTTCTTAATGTTAAACAACGCATTTGTGTTGTACGTGTCATACATTTTATTTACAAAGTTCAGGAGTAAAAAGTAAATTAATACTAAATTATTATGGCTGAAGTCTGAAGATAGAGTTTTGTCTGACTTTTCATATTTTTTGCCACTTCTTAACATTTTTTGAAACACAAATTTTAAATCAATTGTACATGCTAATCCTCATTATATTTCAACAATTTTTAAGTTAAAAATAATTAAGAATTGATATGCTGTAATTTTCTGTCATTTATTTAGTGCAATTCATGAAGGACAATAAAAAAAGATCCTATCTTCATTTCTGCACTGCTGCAGTGTTTTGCTTATAAACAAACCAACCCACAAGTTTATCTTTTTACAATTTTTCTGCCAATCCTAAAAAAAATAACTTTTTTGCTAAGAACCCATCATCCTTGAGAATATATTATTAATTTCTTGACTTTTATGCACTTCTGTTAGTTTTTGTACAGGCCTTGGTTGAAACCTTGTTATAGTGACACATGAAATAGTTGGATCATTTACTAATGAAACAGCTATAAAGGAAGTTTACGTTTGACCACATGGAGCAAGAATTAGACTACCATCTCATCGTAGAGTAAATATACAGGTTTATGTTGTCTTTTTATAGTTTCTGTAAATATTCCTTTTCACTTGTCAACTGTAAACATATTTGTGTTAATTATGTATCTTTTTAAAAGCTACAGAAATTTACTTTAATGAAAAGGCATCAGACAAGTTTATACAGTTTATAAACAGACTGAATAGATAAAAAAGCCTTATTACAAATTTAACACAGTAATAAATGTACAATGTTTGTAGAAGGTTTAGCATCAGGTACATTACCTAGCCACATGAATATATGTACAATATGAAACAAAGAAGTCATATGACTGAAGTACACTTAAGGCTTAATAAAAGTATTTTGTTGATGTTTGGTTATTTAAAATGATATTTTTATTTTTGCAGTAGCTAGATACCCAGCAGCTTGGAATGATTTTCAAATACTAAATACCCAGTAGTCCAAAAATTTGAATATTGATGAGCTATGATCACCTCTCAGTCTCACTTGACTCAGAGAATGAGTAATAGTAAATTAAGAGACTGATTTGTCTTCAAGCTCAATGAAATGATCTGAATAAAACTTTTGTACTGGAAAAATAAATATTGATCATCATTCTTGTTGATCGGCATGTGTGTTTGCTACAAGCTGCCAGGAATGATCCTCAAAATACTGGATACCCAGCAGTCCACAATTTCATAACCAAGAATACTGATAAACTTACAATATGTTTGATGTGATAATTGTTTTTGAAATTATCATTAGTATTATTATAGTTATTACTTACTATTATTGTTGTTTTTGTTGTAGCTCATCATTATTCACATTTTTGGACTGTTAGGTATTAAGTGTTTGAAAGATCATTACAGGCTGCCAGGTATCTAGCCACCACATTTTAATTTTTAATAGATATTTTATGGAATTGCAATGTTTATAAACATGAAGTAAATATCACCAATCGCATCAGATGAGTTAATTGTACAGTTTAGTGAGTATGATATAAGACTACAAAATATTCTGATTACTCAAATCATTACTGAACACTATTTTTGTTTATCCTATTCAAACAACATACATAAATAAATTGAATAATTGGTTACATAATTATTTGTAATGGAAAACATATGTTTTAAATTTAAAAAACTACTATTATCATTAACAGTAAAACCTGTTCTCATTATTTACAGTAGAACCTCTATTAATGGGCACCTCGAAGCAATAGGCACTGCACCATTAATGGCAGACCTTTTCAGTTTCTTTTTTCTTGTATTTGTAACCAAAATAAGTCTTGCAATAACGGGCACCTCGGTATTCTGCATTAAAGTCAGTGTCTTTAGTCTGGTTCTCTATTCAGGCACTCAATAAAGTGGGCAGTTAACCCTTTCATTGAGGGCAGGCTAAAGTATGAATGTGATGACCTTTTAAGAGTTATTTTCAAAATTTTATTAAATAACTTTACTATAATTCATAATACTGTAAGTATTTCAAATCTTTGTTTTTTGAAGTATTTTTTTACTTATTCTTCTATGTTTTAATAAAAATAACTAAAATTTAAACATTTGTGAATAGAGTATTTATTGGTTGATGACTGAGTTTGCTCAAAGGGAAATAGGATTTTATAACTTTAAATGCATACACCAAACAAAATGGAGGGCCTTAAAATTCAGATATTTAGTGCAGTCGATATGGAATCGAGCTTTACGTGGCTAATCTTTTATATTAAGGGCACCTTGCTTTGAGGGTATTTGGACACAGTCAGTAGGGTGTCCTTAATGTTGAGGTTCTACTGTAATTATCAATTTGGTTTGAAGATCAGTTGGGGATAACTGCATATCTTAAACACAAATATTATGGTGATCACATGGTATTTAGTTAACATTAGTAGTTCATTCTCAAAATAGGAAATGACCAGTTTATCTTTAAAATCAAATTTGTGGCAAAATAAGTTTTTAGAAGAAAAAAAAGCTTTTTTTCATAAAATATACATATGGTGACCTTCAGAGAGAGATCTAACATAACAGCCATGGGTAATTTAAAAATTACTTTTAAAAAACTGTAAAGCAGAGGTGAATGAAAACAGGAAAATCAATACCTTGTTAGAACAATGCAGTGGTTGGAAAAGTTATGAAAGTAATAGACGACTATTTTTTTTGCTTGTTTATACAGGAGGGGGAGGGGGGGCATGTACTAATTCATCAGTCATGCGTAACCAATTAATAATCCTATTGGTTAATCAATTACCAAACATTAATCATCTAGGTCTATTGAACACTTGCTACATATTACTTAATACACAGCTTTTATATCTATTTCTCTCACTCATTTTTTGTCTCATCTAGAGATATCAAACCTGAAAACAGATGTTCTTTATAAAACATGTGCCCTTTCTTGCCAGCCATTTTCAAGAACTAAGCATGTAATGGAGAACATCAGAATGAGATCCAAAAGCCCAATTGATTTTTGACATACACTTTGCTCTGGAATATTTAGTGTTTTTGTAGAGCTGACATTTTTGGCTCTCAATACAATGCCTAAAATCATTACATATAATGTGCTGAAACCCAAACAGAATGTGCCCTGCATTCTCACACAGACATGATCAGAAAAAATATTGACATAAAATTTCCAAAGACTCATTTCATCACATTCATAATGTAAAATATGCCATGTCTAATATTTCCAAGTAGAGTATTGATGTCTTATAAGTTACAGTGGCAATGCAAGTTGTAACATTGTAATTAAGTTTTGTAACTAAATAACTTTACTAAACTAATAGTAGTAGTACTATGATTTAGGAAGTAGTTTTTGTGATTTTAAAGTTAAATATTTTATTTTCGAATGCCATTCAGTATTTGTGGAAAAAATATCTATCGTAGAAGTCGGTCTTTCATTTTCCCCTTTTTATTATGTTTTTGAAAAAGGTGTAAACTAAGGTGTACATTACAGTACTACTACTAGTAGTGCTAGATTATCACTATCAGTATCACAATAGTATATGATATAACATATCATTATCACTAGTATCAGAAAATTTTGTCAGCCTAAGGCTGAGCCTTCTAACTTGTACTGGCTATGGTAAATTACAAAATAACCTAAAACTTACTATTTGCCAGTAGTACTTGTAAATATAGTAGTATGGTTAACTGGTATACCAAGCCTAGCACTCAGTAGTAGAAGTAGATATTGAATATTGACGTATTCTCATGGATTATTTTACAAGTACAGACATCAGAGTACAATCACACATATATTAATTAATGTTAAGAAATCACATTATAAATTAAAAAGGGGGAAGCGTCATATACTTCATTTCTTAACAAAATTACTTCACGAAATTAAACTCCAACAATTCCCAATATTATAACATCTTCCTCAATTCTTTCCCACCGCTTGTTGTCTATCGCCCTCTCACATGAGCATTGCCAAACTAGAAAGATTTGTAATATTGAAAACATTTTTTTTGAATTAGACCATACATGTGATATCAAAACTTCAAAATATCGGTTAAACCTTTCGAGGATGTTAAAAAAGCATAAAAACACCAGATTAATAATAGTACTATAACTGACACTGTAGTTAGAAATATTCTTTACAATTTTTACGTGTGACTGACTTAACGAATTCTTATAGTGTATTACGTCCCTTAACTGATGCACTTAATTTAAACGTATCTTTATATTTAACTAAAGGGGAAAAATTTAAATAAAAAATATAATACACCAGAGTCATTGCATCAGTGAAATTCTTATATCAGGATAATAATTCATTCATTATCTTCATCTTTCTTCTGGCCGAGTGTTTATGTGATGAACTGTGAAACTGTGGTTCCGTTGCTGGTAGTTTCAGATTGCCTTGATTTTACTCGGAGTAAGAAAGAATAGAAGCCTTACAATAGCGGTCCAAAGACTGTACTACAAAGTCGATGCCTGAATTTCTTACTTTTAGACTGAGCCTGACTTGCAAGAAAGAGACTGGACACAATCCAAAATAAGTTTAAGTGTGCCCTTCATTAGGGAGAGAGAGAGTGAAATAAATTGTTATGTTTTACCATAACCAGTGATATTTATTTGTTTATTTACCTGAAGTGTTTGACATTTTTTTCTCTCTAAAGCAACAATCTACAGCTGAATCTATCTGAAATTTCTATTATCATATGGTATCTTCCTAGCTTCTGAAAATAACTGAGACAACTTGGCCTTATATACGCAAACCAAACAAAGGACAGGTTGATCAAGGCATATACGTTACCCATCTGAAGACCATTTTCGATTCACTGCAATAGAAAAGACCACTGTCTATTTTGGTACATCATATGTGAAGCTACAGCTATCTTACCTGCTAGACAGTTCATGTGCCACTCTAGTAAAGTGAATTGATTCTATGTGTAATTAGAGTGAAAGAGACTTAGTTGGTCCTTTGATCGACTTTCTATATCGAGAGTTAAACATGCACAGACATTTTGAAAATTTCTACTTATAATTTAAAGGGAGAAGAAAATGGATGATATCCTTGCATATCACACGTTGTTTGCATCGTACTGCCGCAAATAGAGAGAGTGTGAAAGAAAATCGAGCTACGCAATTTGGGACTGTAAGTATATTATAAAAGTGATGGTCAAATCCCACCATTCAGTTTCACAAGAGCAGCCTAATTATTGGCACTGAATGATATTAACTAGTTAATAGTGCTCCGAATCCACAGTTGGTATTTTGAAAAATCAGAACAGTAAGCCATGAGCGATATTGTATTAAAACGCCGAGAATTCCCACGCCCATGGGCTCAAGCACCAAATCTTTTAAGTACATAGCGATTCCTCTATTTCTGTGATTCTGATATATATATATATATAATTGGTGAATAAAACAGAAGATTAACTAGGACAACAGCTTATCATACTAGTTGAAAAGAATAGACGTTATGAAATTTGAAAACAGGGACAGAACTTTAACAGCAAGATTTTACTCATTCACGTCAAAAACGATCTAAATGGTAACTATATTTCTGTTTTCTCACGATCTATATTGTCCCAGTAGCTGACCAAGCAAAAAATTGGATCACAAGTAAACGGAGATGGAGGCACTTCTG